TTCCAACCCCCACCACCTTCTCCCCCCGTGCCTCTTTCTCTTACCTCCTCCAGCCTCCTCCTCTGCTCCTTCTGCTCCTCAATGCGCTTCTGTCTCTCAGCCAGCAGTTGGCGCTTGTGCTCCTCGTTCTGCTGCTGCTCCAGTTGCTGTCGCCGCAGCGCCTCCGAACGCTCTTTGTTGGCCAGCTGCAGCCGCAGGAAGTCCCGTCTCAGAGTGGACTCACCGGGGATGTTGATGATGGAGCTGTGAGGGGCCACAGGTGTGTCACAGTTTGTACGTTCTCAACACGTACATGGCGCATACACACATATGCAAACACGTACGGGACGGTTCACTCTACCTGGGCTCCCCAATGTCCCGTTCCTCCTCCTCTTCCTCACTACCGCTGTACTCATATTCAGTCTCATCTGTAAAACACAGCTGATGATTCAATATCATGATCGCTAATAGTCATATTTATTTCCTATGTAGAATGTTATTTTGAACCGTGAAAAAAAAACAATTCTGGTGTTAATTCTGTTGTTCTGGTGTAAAGGTTATTCCAAGTAACAGGGTTTGTTATAGGGTCCAAAAGTTTGGACGTCCTTGGTCAAAATTGTACAGTTACTGTATATTTGCTGTCTTTAACATATTGGGAAAAAATATAAACTGTTGCCTGTGCAGAAGTAAAGGCATATTTTATATTTAATTTTAGACAAATTTTGGTCAGCTACAGTCAAGTTCAGACAGCATTTGAGCGTGGGTGCTCAAGGTTGTGTGTACAACTGTACCAGTTAATACCACTATTTGAGTGGAAACTGTTCAAGACCAGCAATTTAAAATTCAGGCGCAATGTCCTATAGAAATATTTACCCAAATACATATAAAATTAAAAAAAAAAAAATTAATCAAACAAAGACATCTGAGCGTTAGCCACTGTGAGAAAACACAGAAAACTACAAATATTTAACAGTATCTCAAAAAATTTTATTTTTATACAATTTATAAAATAATATCTATATGAAAACAGCTATCTTTTTTAATACTAACACTAATTTCATGCTCATTTGTGCTGTTGCAAGTAAATGGCTAGACTTCTTCCCTTTGCTACCAATACTGGATTGAGTAACAAAACTACACACCCATTTCATCGAAAATACCACAAACACACACCATCCACTTGATTTTATTACTTATTGTTATCGTTTTTCAGGCCATTTCTATCACTAACTATTCTAAGTCCATTCATGTAGTGTGTTGCAGTGTATTCTACTCAAGCAGAATCTCCCAGGCCCCACCCACTCACCTCTCTCTCCTCTTTTCTTCTTGGTGCGGTCAATGTGGTCTTTGAGCTGGATGCGGACCTGCCGCTCATTGGTCAGGTCCCGGATGAAGGGGTGTTTGAGCAGCTGCTCCGTGCTGGGCCTCTGAGTGTGGTTCTTCACCAGGCAGCTGTCGATGAATGACTGGAACTTCTTCGACCTGTTGAGGAAACCAATGAGAAGTGTGAATCAAGATAAAATCCGCTCCTTGTTCAGTTTCCTTTTATCTATAAACATGTTGATGTGTTTCACAGGCACTTTGATTTGTTTCATCGACACCCAGGAGGGTAAATCAAGGACAACAAAGAAAAACAGCAACAACAACAACTTAGAAAGCAGTGCATCAAAATCTGTCAGCGGAACATCACAACTCTAATTTACATTAGCAGGAATCAGTTACAGCTGCTTCTCCACGGACGGTAACGCTAACAAGCACCGCAATGAAAGGAGAACGCTGTTACTGTCTCAGCATAAAAGCAAATAAAGGGAAGCATGAGGACTGGCAGAAGAGCATGTGTGCGCTTTGGTACGAAAGTCTTATTATAATGGTATCAAACTTTAATAAGAGCAGGTTTTCCAAAAGTGGTGTCCACAGAGAGCAGCAGCTTCGTGACTGCTAACAACAACACTTAAGTAAGAGTTATAATTCCACCAAAATTTGTCTGGTCCCAACTGTACCCCAAAAAATTAAGTCTAAATTCAACTGTAGTATGACAAAATTATCTCTAAATCTGACTGTAGCCCACCAAATTATGTCAGAACCCGACTGTGGCCCAATAAAGTTCTGTCTAAACTTGACCGTGGCTGACAAAATTCTGTTTAAACCCAACTATAGCCCAACTAAATTCTGTCTATACTCAACTCTAGCTGACAAAATTCTGTCTGAACTCGACTGTAGCTGACAAAATTCTGTCTGAACTCGACTGTAGCTGACAAAGTTCTGTCTGAACTCGACTGTAGCCGACAAAACTTCCATCTAAACCCAACTGTAGCTGACAAAATTCGGTCTGAACTGGACTGTAGCCAACAAAAGTCTGTCTGAACTCGACTGTAGCCAACAAAGTTTTGTCTGAACTCGACTGTAGCTGACAAAGTTCTGTCTGAACTCGACTGTAGCTCAAAGTTCTGTCTGAACTCGACTGTAGCGACAAAATTCTGTCTGAACTCGACTGTAGCCGACAAAAGTCTGTCTGAACTCGACTGTAGCCGACAAAAATCTGTCTGAACTCGACTGTAGCCGACAAAAGTCTGTCTGAGCTCGACTGTAGCTGACAAAAAGCGGTCTGAACTCGACTGTAGCCGACAAAAGTCTGTCTGAACTCGACTGTAGCCGACAAAAGTCTGTCTGAACTCGACTGTAGCCGACAAAAGTCTGTCTGAACTCGACTGTAGCTGACAAAAGTCTGTCTGAACTGGACTGTAGCTGACAAAAGTCTGTCTGAACTCGACTGTAGCTGACAAAAGTCTGTCTGAACTCGACTGTAGCTGACAAAGCTCTGTCTGAACTGGACTGTAGCCGACAAAAGTCTGTCTGAACTCGACTGTAGCCGACAAAAGTCTGTCTGAACTCGACTGTAGCCGACAAAAGTCTGTCTGAACTCGACTGTAGCCGACAAAACTTCCATCTAAACCCGACTGTAGCCCAGTAAAATTCTGTCTAAACCCAGCTGTAGCTGATAAAACTCTGTCTATACTCGACTGTAGACGGCAAAATTCTGTCAGAACACCACTGTAGACAACAAATTCCTGTCTAAACTTGACTCAAGGCTGATAATCACAAACCAGAAACCAAACGAAACTCCACATTCCTAATAATAACCCTGCAGCAACAACCACAGCTCTCATCTTCTCGGTGATAATTAAAATAAGTCAACAGCCTAATTATCATCTATCCTTTAAATTCCAAATCCTGAATCAGTACGTAGGTGTGACCATGGGTGCCTCTCTCTCAGCACTGAAGGCAGGCTTTTGTTTTTTTTTTTTTTTTTTTAAGAACAGCAAAATAGGTGATGAGATGTTTAATAAGATAAGGGAGCTGGGGACGTGAGACTCACCACTTCTTTGACTTGAGTCGAGGAGCGGGGTTTCTGGGAATGAGGAACAGAGCTCGCATCGGGTGCATATCACACAGAGCTAGAGAGAGAGAGAGCGAGAGAGAAAGAAAAAGAGAGAGTAAGGGAGAGAAATGTTCCTCAGATGATGAGGGGTTTGGTTGTTTTTTGGCACAAAATCTAATTTACACATTTTTCTTCTTGTACTAAATCAGGCAAGACATGTTTGGCGTTTGATGTTTGCTTCTCTAGCTCTGGAGCTACGAGGCTGATGTAGCTAACAAGTTCTCATACTGGGCTGATGTGACAAGTGATCTTAAATAGACTTGCTTATGTGGTTTCTATCACTGTATGACATCCTGTTATCTATAAAAATGGACAACAGTATGTAGCAAAATAGTAGCAGCAGTCATCTTGAAGCCTGAATTTTGTCCGTACTTCTGTCCATGTTAGTGAATAACATTACGTCATACAGGGTCAGAAACCACATAAACAAGTCTGTTTGAGATTACTTAACATATTCCATGGTATGTGGCGAGTGTGTGATGATTTAGGCATGTAAATAGGCAGGGTACAAGCTTATTTTTGCTAAACAGCTATATAAGTCTGACAGCTCCAGTGCATAACTACAGAAGCAACCTTCAGACACTGAACATGTCTTAGCTGATCGGCTACATTTTAGATAGGGAGGAAAACTATTGCTTTAACAGAGGTAGACTTACGAGGAGCCCCTTCAGCCATCTCAATAGCTGTGATCCCCAGAGACCACAGATCACTCTGAAACGCAGGTGAGAGACTGGATTACATTGGGAAGAAAGTACCTCTTACACATAAAATCTGATTGGCTGAGCCGCGTTTGAAGCCGCTGTAAAATCGGCTACATACACAAACCTATGACCGCCTCACAACAACTGAACTCTGTATCACTGCGCCACGGCGTGAAAAACCCTTGTGCTGTTAATGGAATAATCTTTGACTCTTATGCTGCTCGCTGGACCACTGAGTGTACTGATGAAGTAAGAACCCATTTTTTGTTTAAACTGAGCGGCTTGAAATGTATGTTTTTAACTAGAACTAGGGCTGGTCAGCTAGCGAACAGGCTAAAAGAGCCGACAGCCTAAACAGCTCCATTATTAATATCAAAGGCTTGAATTAAAGCTCTTGCAGTTTGATTAACTGTGAAACAGCAGAATAAAAGTCTAAAAAATGTCACTTGAATGACTTACATGCTTCAAATGTTCATGTTTTAGTCAGAAGTCACGTCAAACCCAGGCTGAATCCCAAACGGCTCTGTACTCCCTAAATAGCTATGGAAGTTTAGAAATTCTAGCCTCTACAGCCAAACAGTGCATCACGTATCAAGTGTGGATGTGGCTGAACCCCAAACGACTGTTTCTTAGCTGTATTTTGCACCGTTGTGGTTCAGGATCCAGTATTTAAATTCCTATGTAGTGCACTATGTAGGGAGCAGGGAGCTGTTTGAGATTCAGCCCCAGCGTGAGAAGAAGAGCCGCTGGATCGGTGCTAAATAAGACTCGTGGTGGTAATTTGGTGACCAACAGGTTCTCATAAAGCAAAAGTCTTTGCAATAAACAGTGCTGTGATATCATAAGTTCATTGTTATACAACAAAAAGATTGAAAGTTTATGAAATGACCGCAGTTCACAGCGATGGCGACCGAATGTTCTCCTCATTCAGCGGTCCATGGTTGCTCGGCACCATACGCCGAAGGACATTTCTTTGCGGAATACTTGTTTATGTGGATTATTATTGATAATAACGAATAATTTTCTGAAAAAGAGTCTATTTTATCATATTTTATGTTGGCCGCCGTTTTATAAAAGCAATAAGCCACTTGAGGCTGCACATTACAGTGACTTTATCACGGGGAAGGAAGTTTTACTCCAATGCTTAAAAAATAAATGACTAAAATAAAAAGATCTCAAAGAGTTGGCAATGATTAGTTGGCTATTTGCAAGATAATAATGCATATTTTCAATTTTTCCTACAGTGAGAAACTGGCCCTGACAGGATTGGTTGATTTCTTTGTTATTTCCTAATTATGATGGTAGTTAATATAAAGTTCGGGAAAGGTAGCTACTTAGATAACACAGGGAAAAAGTCAGATGGGACAATATGATGCAAACTCACATACTTTTGCAGTGGCTGCTACTCTTAAAGGTGAAAGGAGCATCAGTCCATTATATTAGGGACTGTTTAACAGGCCGCTCTCAGATAGTCTATAAAAACATCATGTTTTCTGATAAGCTGGAATTTAAATACTGTGTCGCGTCCCTCAGGGAAATGTTCCGTCTCTGCTCTCTTCTGTGTATATACACTATTTCGCTGTTGTCGGAAGAAAACCTCAAATTTCCAAAATGGTAACTTTACAGGAGAAGGAAAAAACATACCTTACTTTTACTGTAAGTCAATGGAACCAAACTTTTTTTCAAGTCATTTTGGGCCGTTTGTTTTGGTCCATTCACCATCAAATTTACACACAACGTAAAGAGCAACAGGCATTTTCAAACTATGTCAAAAACTGAAAAACGACAAAAACGGAGATACGAGGTTTTCTTCCGACAGCAGCGATATACGCTTTCTGACTCTGGATTATTATGCTAATGATACGGCTCTAGCTGCTCTGTTTCATGGTGATCGAGTGATTGATCATAGATTCTACACAAGTTTACATTCTTAAAGTCAGTGCAGCTCAGGATTTACCTTACGAATCATGAGAAACCATAAGAACTGATATGTCACAGTGGAGAGCCTCTACCAACACTTGTTCTTAATGATCAACTTGTGGAAACTATCGAATGTTTTAAGTACCTTGAAGACTGTTTTTAATTAAGAGACTCAACGGCTTTGGAGTGAGTTGAAGTACACTTGAAACGGCCGACATTAATTTAGTGGAAATTATTCTTGTTTTTAATATCGCAGCTTGTTCTGAGAGCCGACCTGCCAGATATAAAGGCACGCTTGTCAGGATTATTACAGGTAGGCAGCAGAATGAGCTGTATAGAGCTTTTGCCATTGCACATGACCCAAAGAGACCCATAGCTAAGAAAATATGTACAAGAAACCTTTTATTTCTACCACTATTAGCTGCCTGAATCGACATTGTACGCTGACGTTTTACTGATGTTTTATGTTTGTATGTTGTTTGTCGAGGATGCTTATACCTGTTGTTTCATGTTGTACTATAACTGAGGAAGAACAAAGACAAATTTCCAACATTACTGGACAATAAAGTTCTATTTTATTCAACAGTGAAATATGAATAGTATTACAATCACTGAGTTTAAATACACCAAACATGATGATTCTATTAGATAAAAATGAACTAAAAATTACAGAAATGTGTTTTTAATTGGCAGAAAACTTTATGTCTTCTCTGAAGGCCCAGAGGACCCTGAGTCTCCTCACTACTGATAGATACACCCATTTCTAAGCATTTTTTTGCCACATAGTGGTTTTTAAATATATTTTTAATGAAATATTTTAAAAAGTTTTTTTATCATTTTCCAATAAAGATTTTGGAAGGTTATGCATGGTTTTTTATTGTTCTGTTAAGACTTCAGGTAAAAACAATCTGATTATTTGAGTAATTGTTGAAAGATTAGTCCCTTACTAATAAAACCAGTGGTGACAGTTCTAAAACACTCACACACTCACACACTCACACACACACACACACACACACACACACACACACACACACACACACTCTAGAGCATTCTGAATCTCTGCAGTATCAGTGAAAGTGTAATTAAACAAGGCTGTGAGTTAAAATACCTTGAAGTCATATGTGGCGTCTGGATTCTCATCGCAGGCTATGACCTCTGGAGCCATCCAATATGGCGTCCCAATAAACGTGTTCCTCCTACCAACAGTGCGATCCAACTGCGCACTCACCCCAAAGTCCACTGTGGAGAGTTCACATATTCACACACACACACACACACACACACACACACACACACACACACACACACACAGAGTTAGAAAGGCGCACTTGGCCTTAATATGTCACTGTATGGTAACAAGCCGAGAGGTCTTTGATGAAGTGTACACGACCATCTGCCTCAGCGGCACTCTTTCCCTGTCACCACAGGCAGCGTCGTCATGGCAACCCATCACGAACGGCCTCAGCAACTCAAATGAAAAGAATAAGGATAACAGCCCTTCACCAAACTCTGGGAGGGCCACAGGTTCAGCGCTCTGTTCTCCTAGACTGATTAAGGGTTTTGATTCTACTAGAGATTCACAGACATGGAGCTTGGGTCAATAACTGATAACGAAACATCTTGTTGTGGCTGGTAATGACATCAGTAACACCTGGAAAAACACCTTTTCAGCAGGACATCATGGAATTTTTACCTACATAGGAATTCGCACTGGATTACTGAGGTTATTTCTATGTTTTGTTTTATGGAAGGTAAAATCTGCTGGAATATTTACTGATGCAGGATCACACAGAAATAAAAAATGATTGACATGGCAGGATCAGATGGGACTAATAACACTGAGAAATACAGAGAATAATAATTACATTTCCTCAACTCTAAAGAATATCCAAATACTATTCAAGACGAGTTGAAACTCTGAAAATTGATCGTGAATATATTTTATAACCATGACAAAGCTAAACAGCAGATATGACAACTATTGTAAACATTTTCATGTACAGCAGCAGCTCTTATCCAGAGCGATCAGTTGAAATTATCGGCTGTTATTCCAATATCCAATATTCCAGCCGCAGCTGATACATCACGCACCCATAGATTTGACTGCTGCAGCTCGATCGTAGAATAACAGAATTACACACAAAAAAGGAGCTTGTTTCCCTCTTTCTGAGTGCTTACCCAGTTTGACCTCTGCGTTCTCCGTGAGCAGGACGTTCTGACCTTTGATGTCACGGTGGATGACCTTATGCTGATGCAGGTGGGTCAGACCCTACGACACGGACACAGCAATGCATACTTTTAGAAAGCAGGAATATTGAGGCATGCAGTTAATAAGAATGAACCACAGATATGAAAAGCGCCACCTAGGGGTGGGCAATATGACTATTTGTTATCATGATGAAATACATCACAGAACACTTTTGTGAGCATATCACTTTTTGTGTTGTCGGTACTTTTATAACAGTGAACTCCATGTATCATAAAAAGATCGTAAATAATAACCGGTTTATAGTAACGGTACAAACTGCACAGTATCTAGATGTCTTCCCTTTATGTTATTACCTCATTATTTCATGATTGTTGACAATTACTGAAAGATTTTACTCCAGTATCTTAAATACAGTCATTAAATCTAATATTTCTCCTGCTGAGATTGTTGTAAACTTAATTTAAGATTATTTACCTTATAACTAGACATTTTTACTTGTTTTAAGTGATTTTATTAAGTAAAATTATCTCACTAAATTGGCAGATAATAGGAAACCAGCAAAATTATCTGGCAAAATAGTGAGATAATTGTCCCAAAAAAGGTAAATAATGTCTAGAAATAAGCTAGATAATCTTATAAGTGCACAACCATCTGAAAATTGGAAATATTAGATATGTTGACTATATTTAAGCTCATTTCACTTGACAAAACACTTTTTTTTGCAGTGTACTAAAGTTTTGATGTTGTGTTTCGTATATTATGACATATATTGTTGTATCTCAGATACTCACAAATCTCAGAAAAGCTAAATATGGCGATACATATGTACAAATAGGTATCACGATATTATATTTTCAAATTCTAGCACTATCACCATCCCTAAGAGCCATCTGCAGGCCGGAGGCCATAAAAACTCACCCTGAGGATCTCTCTGCAGATGTAGGCCGTCCACTCCTCCTTCAGGGAGTTCCCTTTAGTGTTCTTTATCAGGTCTGTGACTGAGCCCGCACCACAGAACTCCATCACCAACTACACCAACACACACAAACACATACGCTGTAATAACCACAGCGACGCAGCTTTCATTTTTATCATTTAGAACAAGGCCATCAAAAACACATGATCTGTCAGGGACATCAGACCAATTCAACCGTCATAGAAAGGTGGTCCTCAATAGGACACAATGCTGATGACCCTTCAGATGGGATTGGCCACTTGTAATAGAACGCAGTAATTCAAGGACACTGTAACCTCTCTCAACGGCTAAATAATGCACCAGAGATTTATAGCTTAGATGATATTTATACAGCCAGCCTGGCGCTATTAACAAAGAAAAGTATGGGGGGAGAAATTGGCTGATAAATTAAAAAGATACGCTTTACAACCCAACATCAAGGGGCTATCGTATATAAGCCAGGGAAGGCCGAGCGTTACGGAGATTTTATATTCTCAGTGAGACCGGACGCCTCGTGGCTTATTACTTAAAAAATAAATATATCAATAAATACATTTAAATAAATATGTTCAATAATGTCAAAAGCATAGCAACACCCCTCCTAATTATTGAGTTTAGATGTTTCAGCGGCACCCGTTTCTAACAGGTGTATATAATCAAGCACATAGCCATGCAATCTCCATAGACAAACATTGGCAGATGACTGGGTCACACTGAAAAGCTCAGTGGCTTTTAACGTGGCTCTGTCGCCTTTGACACAAGTCAGTTATAGCAAGTGCTATTACTGCAAAATATACGCGTCTAGGAACAACAACAGCTCAGCCACAAAGTGGTAGACCATGCACGCAGAGTGGGGTCACCCAGTGCTGAAGATCAGCAACATTAGCACAAGAATTGTGCACGAGGAACTTCACTAAATGGGTTCCCACGGCCAAGCAGCTGCACATAAGAGAGGTGTTAAGCACACAGCCGCTGAAGTCTGGAACAGTGGAAACATATTCTCCAGAGTTATCACGCTTCACTATCTGGCAGTCTGATCTGGGTTTGGTGGATGCCAGGAGAACACTACCTACCACAATGCATAGTGGTAACAGTAAAGTTTGGTGGAGGAGGGATAACGGGCTGGGGCTGTTGTTCAGGATCTTTTTTCAGGGCCCAGTAGATCCAGTGAATGGTAATGTAAATGATACGAGTGCATGCCTGACCTCAAAGCCCTTTTGACTAAGTATACCCTACAAAATACAGATACCCTACAAAATATTGTGGAAAGCCTTCCCAGACGAGTAATTTTATTTTATTTATAACAAATAATAATTGCAATAACACAATAAACAACTGAGTGTTAGCAATATCATGACTGACATGCCTTTCAGCCAAACACAATCATCTCTAAATGGAGAGAAACTCTGACAAAACCCCACAGAACAAACCTGCAGTGAGAACGACGGTGGTACTAAATCAGTCAGATTATTAAGCCTAAGAAAAGGTGTTACTGAGGAACATATAATGCCTGACACACACTATCCTGTTCATCTGGAAGGTGGAGCTCTTCTTATTTCATTCCTGAAGCTGAAAAAGTTTCAGATTTAACTGTATGGAAGACCAAACTCACAGCTCAGTGCCAGAACTATTAACAGGCAGACTTGTAGATACGGGTTCTAAGTCTAGCTAAACCTTATCTGGATTACTGTATCTGATCAAAATCAATTTAACATGATGTCTAATGACAGTTAACGTTACAGAGCAATGTTAGTCATTTCTATTTTTTCATTAAAGTTTGCTGAAATACAAGACGAGGCCTCCTCAGCATCTAATGTTGCTCTGATAGCTCCAGATCTAGCTGTAGCATTAGCTTATCTGAAGTGACAACATTCTTAGCTGTAACCTGTGTGGTAATTAGGATGAACCTAACATGGTTCATTAATATAGAATATATAATATAGAATCCTCCAATAAATGAACTGTACACTGCTACACTACTATTCTTTTAAACTGTTGCTTTCAGTATTGGTCACAGATGCTGATACCGGTCAGGGCCACTGAGCAAGCTGTCCTTGGAGGAATGTCCTCTTGAAAGGTATGTCTGAGTCAGTATGTGTGTGTGTGTGTATGTGTGTGCACGTTTGTCTGTGTTGGCTGACCACAGACAGTGATAGAGCATGCAGCAGCAGTGTTGTGGCCCAGTGCAGTATGTCATAACTCTGCAGTGTATTGTGCTGAGAGCACAGAATGCTCACCACAAGGGAAGTGTGTCTGTCAAGAGTTCACACTGTCAAGAAGTTTGTTTTTATACAATGCATATGTAATCTGTATGTAACACACACATATATATTTATCGCCACTGTCCACAAAAAACACGTGTCTCCATTTTTTGCGATTTTCAGTTTTCTGCATAATTTGAGCTCGGCAGCTGTCCTTTACAGGGTGTGAAAATTTCATGATGATTGGACCAACAGAACTGTTCCAAAATTACTTAGAATAAAATCTCCTTACATTGACTTACATTGAAAGTAAAGAATGTTTTTGTCCTCTCCTGTAAAGTTACAATTTTGGAGATGCTTGTTTTGTTTTGGACAGTGATGATCCCTACAACACTGTGTAAAAGTCAGAGAGAGCCCTTCATTTATTACATTTCCAATCAAAACAGCCATTAGTTACACAATATTCATTTTTCAGCATCAGGAAAAAAAAAAAGAAAACATGACATATAAACATAACCATAAAATGACAGAAGCCTCAACAACTAATTATAATTTTAGCTTTTTTTGGTATTCAGTCTGTCCACACTTCGCCTTTGTTCCGCTTTCATTCTTCGCTTTTAGTTTTTCAAATAAACACATTCAGACAGCTACACATCCTGTCAGACCCATAGCGCTGAGTCGTCTTCTCACAGTGGAAGGATGGACAGAAACACCTGTGGATGTTTTCAGATCTGTAGCGGCTTGATTTTCTCCTCTCTCTCAAAGATGAAAGCTGTTTATCTGATGGAGACAGGGCCGGTGGTTTACCAGGTCTTGCGGGTGGTTGTTAGGCATATTTTTTTCTGTAAATAGTTTTTTTATAATCTTAATATTCTTTAATATTTTTTGAACAGTTTTGGAGACTCGCGCCTTTTTTTTTGCAAATTTTTCTTTGACTTTCTCCTTCCTAATGCAAGTGAATTATCTTATATCTAATCTCCTCAGAAACATCTCCCAAAAATGAATAACTTAATGGCTGTTTTGACAGGAAATTAAATAAATGAAAGGTGACTTTTGTGCACACACACACACACACACACACACACACACACACACACACACACACGCTCCCACACACAGCACAGCAAAGTGCAAACAACACCGCAGCCGCAGCTCTTGGCCTCAGTGAGTGAGTGTCAACACTCTTCCACTCTCTCCATCACACACTCAATCCGTTGGGTGCACAACTGTTCCTGTTTCGTGCATTTGGACGCATCAGGACTGACCCATAGCTGGTCGTCTATGCCTGGTGGATTCTTCTTGACGAAAGCCCCGTAGTAGGTGGCGATGTTGCGGTGGTGGGAGTACTTTTTCAGCATGTTGATCTCTGCTTTGATTTCCTCCTCCTCATCCTGTCAGAGGAAACACACACACACACACACACACCACCGAGCATAGAGTGAAGAAACCAGTGTGTGCATCCTGCTGTCTGCGCGTGCACCGTAAGCGTTTCAGAATACAGACAGAGATGGTGAAAGAGAGAGAGAGAGAGAGAGAGAGAGAGAGGCAATAAGGACGAGGGAGTGTTCTGCCTACCCCCGTGACATCCATGACCTTGATCGCGGCAAGCTGCCCCGTCTTGACATGGCGGCCCTGGAGAGAAAGAGAGAGAAAGAGAGAGAGAGTGTAAATTTAACCTCACAACACATTTGATTCAAGTATTGATTCAGTACACGAATCAGTGAATCATTAATCAACATGATTCAAACAACACTGGGACAGTTCACAATTATTACTGAATGAGGCTGAACAACAGAGCATACAGTAATCATAATACATGTTGACCGGATATCGGCCTTTGCAATAAGCAGAGTTGTGGACTCGAGTCGTATGACTCGGACTCGAGTCCGACTCGAGTCACGACTTTGATGACGAGATTCGACTCGAGAAAATCAAGAAAGACTTGCGACTCGACTTTGACTCGAACACCAGTGACACGGACTCTGACTCGGACTTCAGTCTTATGACTCGGAAAGACTCGAGTCCCAAAGTGTGGAGAGTCTGACTGCAGATTGCTAAACTGTCGGTTACTTTTCATGTGAATGGATTCGTTTTCTGCCATAAATCTGATATACAGCAAGGTCGTCAAATGTCTGTCACTGTGTTCATTTAAGGTGGAACGGAAAATTCAAATAAGAAGCTGCAGGCGAATAAAAATTTAACTTCAGCTTCGTACAATTCACCATCGTCTTTTCTGTAAACCTTGCTCAGTTCGGTCGTTTTGGCTTATGTTGTCGTCTAAATTCAATTCAAACTAGCGGCTGTTTTTAGTTGGCTGAGGTAGTTTTAGTGCTGAGTTTTTATTTGAATCCTATCCGCCCAATGTTCATAAAAATATAAAGGTTTTTTTAATTTAAGTTCAGCACTTTTTAAGATTCTTTTCATGTGTTGATGCACTATTCTCAGTATGCCTGTCATGGTTATCTGTATACCATAGATTCTGTATTTAAAATAAATGAATATAGCCATAAGCTACTAACATGCTGTCATTAAAAGGCTACAGTACTCTCATCATTATTCAGTGTTAAGGCCTCAAATTAGCTAAAGAATACATACTGACTTGTTTGGACTACTGACTCGGGACTTGAATTGAGACTCGACTATCTTGAATCAGGACTCGAGTGTCTTGACTTGAGACTTACACTTGCAACTTAGTGACTTGTTCCCACCTCTGGCAATAAGGCTGCAATATGCAATTGAGGCCTCCAACCAGTGTTTTTTTGTACTGTGTCCTGTGACCATCTTGACCAATCACAGTTCTAGAAGAGTGCTTCAGGTGACTGACTCAAGGTTTTCATGCAATCCAACAAAAATAAACATGTAAATTATTTTGCTCAAAATAGGCCAACGTTGGTAACAAAGTGCTCCTATTTGGGAAACCCTGCTGTGAAATAACTGTGTTAAACATTTACACTGCAAAAATGTATATCCTGGCAAGTGAAATCACCATAAATGTATTCAATATTGCTTCCCTTGCCCACTTCTGGACGTGTCGCTCAAACACAAGATGGTTGGAAGAATTTTCTGAGCCCAAAGTGGCCTAATATTGTCTTTACACTTTAAAATAAACGTCCATGCTCTGCGCTTTGAACACGTTTGTTTATCAACCACTACATCTACAGCTCGGTGTGCCTCTGAGTGTTGAAATTCAGCATGAGACACAACAGTTATCGTACCACATATCAACAACTTGACCGACTGTTGACCTCTCAGAGCATTTGCATAAAGTAGATCAAGTGTCTAAATTCCTACGTAGTGCACTATGTAGGGAGCAGGGGCGCCATTTGAGATTCAGCCCCAGCAGAAGAGGGCGCCGCTGGATTGGTGCTAGTAAGACACACGGTGGTAATTTGGTGACCAAAAAAGTACTTATAAAATGAAGCTTTCTGTATTAAACAGTGCTGTGATATCATATGCTCATTCTTATATGACAAACAGTTAAAAAGTTCATGAAATAACCGCAATATACAGCGATGGGCGACCGAACGTTCTCCTCATTCAGCAGCCCATGGTTGCTCGGCAGTGATACCATATTCCAAAGGAACTACATTTATTGGTGGAATACTTGTTTATGTTGACTATTATCAATAATAACAAAGTATTTTCTGAAAAATTCTGTATTTTATCATATTTTTATGTTGGCCGCCATTTTATAAAAGCAATAAGCCACTTGAGGCCGCGCATTACAGTGATTTTATCACAGGGGAGGGAGTTTTAGGCATTGAGGTGCCTAAGAACACCCCTTCCATGTTGAAATCACAGTAATGCTCTGCCTCTTTTGGCTTATTGCTTTAATATATTATCAAAAAAATTAAAATTGAAAAAAGCTAATCATTTTGCATGACGTCACCATTGAGGCCACCTATATGCTGCTTAAAATGTCAACAACCCCAATTTAAAACACCTTCCTGTGTCCCTGACCACCTTCAGATCTTGCATTGACACTAGTATACGAGGTAGTGTACGGAGCTTTGTCCACGCTAGTGTGCCATTACAGGTGGACTAAGCACATAAGCTTCTCTGGCAAACGCTGCTGTTGTGTAAGAGCAGAAAAAAAAACCCTCACTGCCTGGAACGACTGAAACAGGCCCAAAAAGCGCTGTGCCTGGGTTTGGCTAGTGCCGCTGCCATTTTATGCACGTGTCATAAAGGCACCAGCTGACGGTTCTGCTCGGATTGGACGGGCCTCCAAAAGCATTACGTAAGCTGGAGCGCTCGGCCGGGAGGAATTTCAGGGCGGACTGCGGACAGGAATGTGGAGCTGGAGAGCTCTTTTCCAGGTTGCTGCTTATTGCCTCGTATTTCTCTGTTATTCTCCGCCATTTCCCCAGAGTTCATATCCAGGACAAACACAAGAGCCTCCAACAACAAAACAAACAACAAACGCGGGAAACGGTGTCATGGATACGGATCACCTGAGCTCCGCCGCTCAGCCCAGAGAACAGAAGAAGGAAGACACAAAGGAAGACGCAGTGTGGATCAGGGCCGTCGCTGTCGGTTAGATTAGTCATTGAGACATTCTAATGATTATTTTGATGATAAATTGAATAATCAGGTCAAAAAATAAACACGGACTGGACAACATTAAACCAAAATGTTTTAATATAAAAAGATAAACTAGAAAAAGCTTCTATTAAAAATATCTAAAAACACATTGTGGCTAAAATGTATATAAAAGGTCCAACAGACTGTTTCTTACGGTAAGAGAGACGCGTCAGAATTTAAAATATACGCTGTAGATGTAGAAATGACTAACTAATCACTGCTGATTCATCTATGATTTATTTACCGAGTAACTGAGTTTAATCGAGTTATTATGACAGCCATGGCGTTCACTCATCTCTGTTAGCTGACTCTGTATCTCTCACTTCAGAGGAAGTGAATCACCATCAACTGCCATTCGGAATAAACTACTACACACCAACACTGAGAGAGAGAGGGAGAGAGAGAGAGAGAGAGAGAGAGAGAGAGAGAGAGAGAGAGATGGAGGGGAGAGAGACAAAGGAAGAGACTGAGAAGGAGAGACAGAAGGAGAGGGAGAGAAAGAGACAAAAAGGCAGAGATAGAGAGATGGAGGGTGTGAGAGAGAGATAGTGAAAGAGTAAGAGAGAGAGAAAAAAGAAAAAGAGAGAGAGAGGAAAAATAGAAAGAGACAAAGAGCAAAACAGACCGGAAAGAGAGAAAGAGAGAGACAGCGCGAAAGAGAGACAGGAAGAAAGAAAGAGAGCAAGAGAGAGAGAGAGGAGAGGAGACAGAGAGACAGAAAGAAAGAGAGAGCGAGAGAGAGAGAGAGAGAGAGGGGAGAAAGATAAAAGTAAAGAGCGAGAGATGAGAAAGAGAGACAGAAAGAAAGAAAGAGAGCAAGAGAGAGAGAGAGGGGAGAAAGATAAAAGTAAAGAGCGAGAGATGAGAAAGAGAGACAGAAAGAAAGCGACAGAGAGTGAGCGAGAGAGAGAGAGAGGGGGAGGGGAGAAAGAGAGACAGACGGACAGGGCAAGAGAAAGAGAGGAAAAAATACAGAAAGAAAGAGACAGAGAGAGAGAGAGAGAGAGAGAGAGAGATGGAGGGGAGGGAGAAAGAAAGAGACAGAAAAGATGAGAGGGTGGGAGAGAGAGAGAGAGAAAGACAGAAAGGTGCAGAGAAAGAGAGAGAGAGTGAGATGGAGGGGAGAGAGAGAAAGGAAGAGACACAAGGAGAGAGAGGGGCAGAGGGATTTAGGGTATGAGAGGGATATAGAGAGACAGAGAGGGGAACAGAAAGAGAGTGAGAGAAAGAACGAAAGAGAGAGAGACAGAAGGAGACAGAGAGAAAGAGAGAGGGACAGAGAGAGAGAGAGATGGAGGGGAGAGGGAGAGAAGGAAAGAGACAGAAAAGGCGAGAGACAGCAGGAGGAAGGGAGAGAGCAAGGGAGAAAAAGAAACAGAGCGAGCGAGAGAGAGAGAGAGGGATAGGACAGAGGGAGATGGGGAGAGAGAGGAAGAGAAAGTGTGAGAGAGAGAGATAGAGAGACACTTGTGAGTCACAGGCTCACACCAGTCCCATCAGTCCTCATTAACGATTTTTCCACTGTCGGAAAGTATTAACGAACGGAGCAGCCTTAATTCACCACACAGCGGCGCGCGGCCACCGCCACCACGCGCCGGACTGGACAGGATCCTAATTACACTGCGCTCGTAAAACACAGCCATGCATGGACCTTTCTAGGCTCTCAAGAACTTTTGCCCCTGAGAATGACATGCATTAGCATCTGCCCATTACTCACACCATGTTTACAGCGCCGCTGGAATGAGTCACTCTCTGCGCTTCTGCATGCAGAGGAAAACATGCGAGCCAAGCATGTTCGTTTATACTGAAGCAAAACTTCAGCAAAAAATCACACTTACATCATTTTCCCCTCAGTGCAAATGTAGCTGAAAATACAGGCTTCAAGCAAAATTCAGGCTTTAAGCTGGTTGTTAACAGTGCTTTGAGCTATGCGACCTACTTAAGTCCATTTATAGGGGTAAAAATAAGGGATTGGGCCTTTCAGTTTCACAGGACTACTTTCCCACACCTTCAAAGTTTAGTCTTAGAAGTTGGTTGTTCATTTTCTG